GTTTCAATATGAAAAATAACTTTTATATTGATTCAAGGGATTTATTGCATTTTGGGAAACAAATGATCAGTTTTTATAATAAATCTTTAAAAAACAAAATCTGGATTTGAATTTAGAATGTTATTATAACCTAAAGATGCTATGTGAAAGTTTGAAACAGAAAATAGTGCTTTTCATCTAGCCACTTTCTTGGTAAAGAAAACAGATTTTTACTCAAATTAATCTAAATGGATTTATAGCATTTTGGAACCAAATTCTTCATATATGAAAGTGACGTGACATGTGGTCAAGTATGGTGACCCATACTCGGAATTAGTGCTCTGCATTTAACCCATCCAAAGTGCACACACACAGCAGTGAACACACAACCCGCAACCTTTGGGTTACAAGTCCGACTCTCTAACCATTCGGCCACGACTTCCCCATACGTGGTTTAATCCATGGGTAGTTTCTGAAGAGGCGGAAATCACTTTCTATTAGGGCTGGGTTTTGACACAAATTTCATGATTCGATTCGATTCTCATTCACAAGCTTGCGATTCGATTCAACATCGATTATTTTGGATATATAGCAGGTACAGTACATGCCAAATTTTCTCAAGGAAAAAAAATCTCTCGACTAAGGTTGTAAAATATACACGAGAGTCAGTTGGTACAACATTACTATAATATTGAAGGTTAAAATTGAAGAACAGTAACATTTATAATGAATATGTTATATGGTGCATATATTTAGCAAAATGCCCGTCTTTACAGTTTATTTTTCTATTTGACTAATGATTTTATGGTCACCGAATATGTTTGTTTCTGAGGTAAATGTGACGTTACGTGACATTGTTTACAAGCCGTTATATTGACATCTTTGCACGGCTGAAACACTGATTGAGCGATTACATGAGAGAGGATACAGATTGTAAAGTTGTACTCTTTCTTTTAACTTACCTTCGGATGTTTAGTCATGTTTATTTTGTGCTGAAACTGGTATTAATGTGGAGGAGATGATCAGTTCACGTGCGCTACGCGCTGCCGCGTCTGTTGAACTGAGGCGCTACAGCGATCTGTCACTCACCATTAAACCGCGCCAAAACCATAGGCGGAGTTTAGGGGGGGCCCCCAGACGAGAGTAATGATTTTGTCTGAGCTATGAATAAAATATAAAAATGAAAGAATTCACATTTTCTCATTTTATTTGTATTATCTTATTATTTTAGTGGTTAGAATAGCCTAATAAGTACGTTTTGGGCTAAATTAATTATTTAAGCCTCATATCCTCACGAGTGATTGATGATTCTCAACTTGAGAGGACTCCCTTTTCGTTATTTTCCCGCTTTAGCAAGTTAACAAATATTCGTTGTTTCTTTTTTATAAACCCGCTAATAAAAATGTGGTGGACGGAGTCGTTTGAAGCGATGGCCTTGAGTGTGTGGCGTGTGATGCAGTATTCAGTTTAAGCATGTACGCAAGCCACCCTCGGCTGTGACAGCTGAAGTGGAGCTTGTGAAATGTGCGATCGCCGATTACTCTTGAGAAACTTAAAGATGAAGTAGGCTACAGAAGGACAAATATCCAAACTTTTTCAGACTACTGCAGTTTGCACTCACGCTGCCCATTGGTTCGGCTACATCAGAAAGTTTCTCAGTTATGATGAGAATCTGGCTCCGATCTTCAGTGGCACAGGACAGATTCTCAGATCTTTCTTTACTGCACATAGAGAACGATTTGACTGAAAAACAATCAGAAGAGAAGAGATAGTGAAAGAAAGACAGTGGTCATCTACGCAATTCGGAAAAAGAGGCGGCTTTTCTGCATTAGGTACGTTTTTCTGTTTTTTTTAATGTATTTTTAATGTTGAATATATGTTATATAAATATATGAAATGTAGAACATATAAAAAAGTGTTCATGGCTCGTCTCCCATTGGGTACCCCCCCACCCCCCCAAGCATAAAAGTGAAACTCCGCCTATAGCCAAAACTGCATTTATTGTTTGAATTCTGCAATACTGGACAAAATTTGCAATCTGAGACTGTTTCATATTAAAAGTACCAAAGCATAATGCTTATTGCGATATATTGGTTGGGAAGTGCCCTTCAATGTTCTGTCCATTAACTGAAAACAGGCTAGACTGATCGATTCTTGGGATTTAAGAATCGATATCGTTCCGTAAAATGAGAATCGATTAATATCGAGAATCGAGATATCAATATTTTTTACCCAGCCGTACTTTATATGATGAAGAGATTTAGTTTAGGCTTTTATTCAGATTTGAGCAAACACGCATGCATAATGCACATCAAATATGTGACCCTGGACCACAAAATAAGGGTCATAAGGGTCCATTTTTAGAAATTGAGATTTATACATCTTCTGGAAGCTGAAAAAAGAAGCTTTCCATTGATGTATGGTTTGTTAGGACAGAACAATATTTGGGCGAGATACAACTATTTGAAAATCTGGAATCTGAGGGTGCAAAATAATCTAAATATTGCGAAAATCGCATTTAACATTGTACAAATGAAGTTCTTCGCAATGCATATTACTAATCACAAATTACGTTTTGATATATTTACGTAGGAAATTTACAAAATATCTTCATGGAACATGATCTTTACTTAATATCCTAATGATTTTTGTCATAAAAGAAAAATCTATAATTTTGACCCATACAATGTATTGATGGCTATAGCTACAAATATACCCGTGCTACTTATGACTGGTTTTGTGGTTGAGGGTCACATACGGTAAACAGAAGCAGAACCAATGAGGGTGTTTTTCACATCAAGCTCAGATGTTTGTTTTCCATTTTTTTTAGCTTTTTAAATCAGAAAATTGTGGAGAAGCAAAATTACAGATATTATAGGAGGGATATCTTCTAAATGGGTGGAATTTTGTCTCTTAGCTTAGCATTTCACTTTTATTGAGAACAGAGAAATTATTTAAACACAAATAACATAATAACAAGTGAAAATGATACAGATTCCTGACTGTTTTGTGTTTGTATTGCAGCAAAGATGTTCCGTCGTGTTCTGACAATAGTCCAGGCTCACTGTAAACTGGGTCTCACTGCCACACTAGTAAGAGAGGATGATAAGATTGTGGATCTGAACTTCCTGATTGGGCCGAAGCTCTATGAGGCGAACTGGATGGAACTACAGAACAGTGGTTACATTGCTAAAGTCCAATGTGCTGAGGTGAGGGTTTGAAATATTAATTGTCTTACTGAAACAATTATGTAACAGGAAAGAAATCGAACATTTCTGCCCAAAGCACAAAAAAGAAAACAAAAGATCTTATCATGTGCATATTTCATAATGTGAACATAGGTTGATGTCTGAACCTTGTCAGGGGGTCAACAAGGTGCATGAAATTGTGAAACATTGTGTTGGGAGGCTTTGGAGCCTGACGTACAAAGAAAATACAGTGCCACATGTGCTGACTCATGCATTGTTCACTGTACGCTGAACAACATCTTTACAAAAAGGCTCTATAAATATTTTTTAAAAACTCCAATGCAAAGCATTTATCACATTTTTTGGTAAACCTTTTAGCATTTTTTAACTTAATAAAATCTGTTGCAGTCAAGTTAGTCAGTAAGTAAAATATATAAATTAGATTAGGCTATAAATTATATGTATACAGGGTTTTTACAGTCCTGGAAAACATCCCAAAAAAAAAAATGTGGAAATTAAGAAATCATAAAAGGTCATGGAAATTCTATTTTCAATGTTATTTTTTTTTCACAGTTACTATTTTTTATTCAACTGAAGTATATCTATACAGTTTTAGATGTAAATAAGAGTATCTGATTATTCTAAAGAAAAAACATTCCTTTTATAGCTCTGAACATCATGTTTAGAAACTCAAACTTTTTGTTTATTCTAGTGCTCTTAGGCGATTAATCGCATCCAAAATAAAAGTTTTTGTTCACATAATATATGTGTGTTTACTCTGTATATTTATTATGTATATATAAATGCACACACATGCAGAATGGATATTTTGAAAATATTTACATGTACATATTTATATTAATATAATTTATATAATTTATAAATATATTTAATATATAAACAACCTATTTTTCTTAAATATATACATGTGTATACATAATAAATATAAACAGTACACTCACATATGTTATGTAAACAAAAACTTTTATTTTGGATGCGATTAATCGCGATTAATCGTTTGACAGCACTAGTTTATTTTCTTTTAGTGTATATAAAAATCTATAGATAAGGTTTATATGTATATAATAACTTTCATATACGTTTTAAGCTGTTTTAATTAAATAGAAGCTTCATAGATTAGTGACCATGAGAGTTTGTTGGTTAAACCTTTTGAGGAGCTAATCCATGTCGCTAATCAAGCTAATTGGAGGGGTGAAGTAACCCAATGGGTTTTGTAGAAAATGCAAAGAGTGGTGTGTATTGTTGTTTTGTGTGCTTTAAGCTTACAGTACGTTTCCCTCTCGCTCTCTGTGCGTCTAGGTATGGTGTCCCATGTCTCCTGAGTTTTATCGTGAATATGTGGCCATAAAGACGAAGAAGAGAATTCTGCTCTACACCATGAATCCCAACAAGTTCCGTGCATGTCAGTTCCTGATCCGCTTCCATGAGCGGAGAAACGACAAGATCATCGTCTTTGCCGACAACGTCTTCGCTCTGAAAGAATATGCCATCCGCCTGAACAAGTAATCCCTCTCATTCAAACACATATGCTTACACCAGTGCTTTGTTGTAAAGCTCAATAGTCATTTCCCACTTTTTCAGTTGCCTCTTAAGTATTTTTCCCTTTAATTTGCTTTATAAGCATGGAATATTTTTTAGTTAAAAGGTTTTTGAAAATCAGAAAAAAGACTTGATTTATGCACGAATGAACTGCTTGTTAGGTGCTTTCAAACATAAAACGTTTGGTTAATTACTGTTAAATTGGCAGATTGGCTGTTCCAGAAATTGCGTTACATCTGCTGTTCACTTTTCATTTCTTTTTAGGTGATCACAAAATTGGCTGGGATGGAGGAGGAAGACTTGATGTTTTCCTCTCGTGAGGAACAGCAGCAGCTCTTGCACAAAGTTCTGGCAGCATCAGATCTTGACGCAGAAGAGGAAGTGGTGATGGGAGACGTGGGAGGGAAGCCACAGGTATCTCCACTTGTTTTTGTTCCTCTCTGCCTCCTCATTTGTTTGCTGGGTGTAAGGTGCTGTTTTGATCTGGATCATTAACCACAGAAATGACAAACACTGCTCTCTGCTCGGATTTAAAAGAATGGTCACCCAAAAATGAAACATTTGTCATTTACTTTCTTTCTTCTGTGGAACATTAAAGCAGATATTTAGCAATGTGGTCATGCTGTGCTGGTCATTATGGAAATGAGATGTTGCGTCTGTGTTCTTTAATGTGCACCTTATCAGTAAATCACCCAAAGAATTTTCCCCTCCCATCTGCGTTTTTTATGGAATTGCGCTCTAATGCTAATTTGCCCTGTTTAGTAAATCTGGCCCTTAGAGTCATATTAATTAATTTTATGTTTTTGATCTTAACAGCCTCAGTCTCCATTCCATTTAGTATATTATCTATAGAAGACAACTTTATTCAATATTTCTCCTTTTTTATCCAACAAAAGAGAAAAAGCCAGAAGCTTTAGAATGACTAAGTGAGAAAATCAAATGTTCAGGTCAACTGAGAACAGGCCAAGCACTTTTAGTTCTTGATCCATATGGCCTATCATCTTTTCAGCTTATTGTTTAGAGCATTGACTTACACTCAAGGGTTAAATCTGTATTTGCGTCTAGATGATTTATGTTAACCTGCTTAATGTGTCAGTAAGGATTGTGTTTTTTTTTTTTTCACTTTTGAACCATTTCTATAGTTTTCTCGCCGTATGGGAACTATGAGCTCCATGTCTGGTGCAGACGATACTGTCTACATGGAATACCAGACGTCCCGCAGTGGCAAGTCTTTAGCTGGCAAGAATGTCCATCCTCTGTTTAAACGCTTCCGCAAGTGAACACACTCACGGCATGGCTGATGTATTCACAGCATCTGGAGAGACCAGGCCACTTCCTGGGACGCCCAGCATCATAATAAAAGACACTTCATGGCTGCTTGTCTCAGACAGACCAATTTAAAGACTGAGAAAGAAGCAAAACTGCTGCAATTTCAGAAAGATTAAAAAATCTAATATGTATAGTATTGCAAACAGGATGTTTGTTATTATAAGAATGATTTCTTTGAATTTGTTGTGAGAAACTGAATGGAAATTGAAGGAAGAAATTTGTACAGTATGCAAAAGCCAAAACAGCCTGTTTTTTAAATTTACTGGTAAACTTTTAGCAAATAAAATGTACTTTGGTATCTAATAAGATTATATTAGTGCATTAAGTATCTTATTGTCAATGAACAGTATTTATTAATCTTGGTTAATTTTAATTTATTAAAGGGGTCATATGATGCGATTTAAATTTTTCCTTTCTCTTTGGAGTATTACAAGCTCTTGGTGCATAAAGAAGATCTGTAAAGTTGCAAAGACTAAAGTCTCAAATCCAAAGAGATATTCTTTATAAAAGTTAAGAGTCAGCCACGCCTACCTAAAACGTCTCGTTCTAACACGCCCCCACATGTCTACGTCACTATGTGGGAAGATTTGCATAACACCGCCCAAATGTTCACGCAAAGAAAGAAGGCGTAACTTTTATTCTCGCTGTAGTATTGTTGTTGCCGCCGCCATGTCGTGAAGGCGCTGTGTGTTTCGTTGTGAAAGCGAACCTTCTTTGGTTGGTCTTCCAAAAGAGGACGATATCCGCTTCGTCATGCCAGGAGCTGATCTGTGCTGGTTGCTGAGGAAATACATCAACTTCGCGCTGTGGATCGCCAGATCGGCTTTCACCGTAGACAAAGCAGAGTCCAGCCTGGGGTCGTCACATGTGGTTACTGCAAGCCCGCCGGACGCTCCTTCATCGAATCCGCCGGCCGCGCCGTTCTCAAGCCCGCCCGTCTCTGCTCACTCAAGGCTACGGCGTGTGACGCT